ATGTTTATGGACATGCATGCACATGTGTGCACGTGCTTGCAGAGGCAAACATTGTATGTCCTTTCCTATTATTCTACATATGTTTGGGTTTTTTTGTTTGTTTTTACTTTTGAGATAGTCCCTCATCAAGCTTAAACCTCCCTAATTGGCTAAACTGGATGGCTATCATGCTATGGGGCACACCTGCTCTACCCCTACCGGTTAGCATATAGGTACAGGTAGGTAGGTGGCTTGGCCTTTCTGTGCATTCTGTGGCTTCTGATTCGGTTATTTGTTCTTGCCCAACATCTACTTTATACATTAAGCCACCTCTCCAGCCTGGAGTATATACATCCACACAGCTATATTCCCCGGAGTCAGGAGTCAGTGTTCTGTTTCTCCCACAGTTTGCCAAGTAATCTAAGAAAGGCACGGCAAAGGGAGAAAAACCACACAAAACAAAAACCAACCAACAGTTTCCATAGGAAGTGACTGGATGACACCTTCCCTTGTCTAAGGATGGACAAGTGGCTGGTGATTGTTAACTTATTGATTACTGCCTGAGGAGCTCGCACTGTGAGAAGTGCTTTCCTGGAGTTATCATCCTGGGACATGGAGCACTTGGGAAGAAAGGCAGGTCACAGGGTTAAGTGACCCTTGCAGGGCTGCACAGCTAGGAACCAGTATAGCTGGGAATTGGAGCCCAGGTGCCCTGAGGCTCTCAAGTGTTGCTACCCTTTCTACATACTGCAGAAGCAGCAGCTTCCTTCCCTTCTGTCTTTCTAACAGAAGCTTCCTCCTCTGGTCCTGTGTTTGCTTCCATTTTCTCTGTTACAATGTTTCGAAACGGTGAAAGGGAACTGATCTGGCCCTCTCAGGGCTCTGCACACAGTGGGACTTTTATTTCCTGCCTGTGTAGTAAGATTTGTAAGTGAGGAAACAAGTCACTGGGCACAGATGAGGTTCTTGCACCTAAGGAACTGACTGCAAGTCTCAGCCTGGCTCTCTGCTACTTCCCAGGGGGCCTGACTCTGACTTTTGTTTTGCTTTGTGTTTATCTTATCTCCAGAGCTTAGCCACCAATTCCCAGTGCTTTCTCTATTGAGTTAAGAACTCCAGGATCCTTATCAGCAATCTCAGCTGTGCAGAGAGGCCAAGGAGTTCCCAGGTACCACTGACCTGAAGGTTACCCGCTGCCGCCAGCCGCCAGCCGCCAACCGCCAGGGAGAGATCGGAAGAAACTGAGGCTTAAAGATGCTGAGTGGGTGATCCGAGAAAACAGATTGCTGCACAGTGCACCCGGTTCTTCGGGAATTGGGGCGCTGGTTCTGAATACCTGTCTCCAGGATGCTCACTGGCAGAGCTTCTAGCCTGGGGCCCGAGTACTACAGACAAGAAAACCTCTGAGTTTTGCTTACACTTCTCCCAGTCTCTCCTCCTCTCCCCTCCAGCCTTCTCAAGCGCATAGTTTTGAGATAAAAGTCTCACAGTGTAGCCCAGGTTAGGCTCAAACTCAGGAGCCTTTCCCTTTGGCTCTCTCCTGTTGGAGGGTTGTTTCACCTTGCTCAACTTTATTTTGCTTTTTTCACGGTGCCTCCCATTGCTCTGCTTTCAATTTTATTTATGGATTGACTTCTGTTGTTTATTACTGTTATTGTGGAACAGGTAGGTGATATGCGCGTATTTTGTATTTTAAAAGGAGAAAGAAAGAAAAAAAAAGGTGAAAGCTGATTCCCCTCTCCACCCTATCCCTCAGTGCCCCAGCTCCCTTCCCTAGAGGCGGCTGATGTTACAGTAGTGTCATGGTAACCTTCCAGGGCTATCTCAGTTAATCCACACTTTGGGTCGTTCTCATTGAGAACACATAGCACCAACTCATTATTTTTAATGGCTACATGGAATGAAATGATTTTGTTAGCTATACCCTGATCGCTGCACACACAGTCGATTCCAGTTTCTACCCTGCAGACAAGGATTACTGGGGCCAAAGAGTGTACCCATTGTAAATGTCTGTAATTCTTTATTATTAAAAATTCTTTGAAATTTATTGTATGTGTTTTGCTTCCATATATATGGGAACATATATATATAATAAATATACATCACATATATTTATCAGCATGCACGTGTGCTTGTGTGTGGTGTTGGTGGAAGGCATAAGAGGAGGCTGGATCCCCTGGAACTGGAGTTTCAGAAGGCTATAGACGCTGGGAACTGAGTGCTCTTAACCACTGAGCCATGTCTCCAGCCCCAGTGGATAACTCTTGCCTGGCCCCCTAAAGCCATGACGCTACTTTATCTTCCTGTCCTTACTGCTTAAGGCCTCTGCTTCCTTCTGCATGTGTAAAACCTGATATTGGCAGTATGACGCTCGTTTCTGATTTCCTTCTGGTATACCTGAGTCTGTCTGAACTGCTTGTGTTAACTAAATTTTGGTAGACGAAATGACATAAAGAACAGAAAATTTATTTATACAGTTTTGGAAGCTGGGAAGACCAAGGCCAAGGCACTGACCCATTTTGGTCCAGTTACAGCCTCCTTCCTGGTAATGACTTCCTATGGCAAAGGTGTGTGTGTGGGGGAGAATTCAAGTTTTCCTCTGTCTCTTCTGATCTCAAGGGCTCCACACACGTGCTAATTACCATGTCGAAAAACTGTCCTTTGTAGGTTTTCAACACAAATTGTGAGTGGAACACAAGTATTTCGTCCTAGCAATATATAAAGTTGAACATTTTTTTTAAATGCTAGCATTCCTTTCTTTTCTTTTAATAATAATTTTTAAGTATTTATTTATTATATGTAAGTACACTGTAGCTGTCTTCAGACACCCCACAAGAAGGCATCAGACATCAATACAGATGGTTGTGAGCCACTATGTGGTTGCTGGGATTTGAACTCATGATCTCCGGAAGAGCAGTCAGTGCTCTTAAACACTGAGCCAGGTCACCAGCCCCCCATTTTTTTCCATGTTTTTTTTCTTCTTCTTCTTTTTTTTTTTTTCAAGCCAGGGTTTCTCTGTATAGCCCTGGCTGTCCTGGAACTCACTCTGTAGACTAGGCTGGCCTCGAACTCAGAAATCCACCTGTCTCTGCCTCCCAAGTGCTGGGGTTAAAGGCGTGCGCCACCACTGCCCGGCTGTAAAGTGTTTCTTGTTCGTTTCTGTTTGGTTTCGCTCCTGTGCTGCACCTGGCCACGTCCCTTTTTCTTTCCTCTCTAAGTAGCTTAGACGGTGTCCAGCTAGTAGACTGCAGCTTGTGTGTGATAAGCATGCGTGGACTCCGGGTGTGATGGACCATCTGACTGCTCAGGTCTCAGTAACATCACATGTGTGCATAAAGTGTCGGGCATTCCCCCTTGTAACGCTAACCTCAATAGCATCTTAACAGAAATGTGTGACCTCGGCTTGAGGGTCAGCGGGTCAGCAATTAGGATTTGCTTTGGACAGATTAGAAAATGAGGCGCAGTTAAACTTTGTTGGGCAGGGTCACAGCTAGGTGTAGCAAAGCCAGCTTCTGGCATCCGTTCCAGAGCCTTCCGAATTCAGATAGTTGAGGTGTTGAGCCACTCAGTTAACTGGGACCTTGGGGATTCTACACTATCCGTCTGAGCTAGCCCACTAAGGGGATTCTGAGGACTCTGTGTGTATGAGCCACCTTCGTTCCAGGGTTAAAGGTCTGTGGTGGTTTCAAAGCTCCACTCGTATGTCAGATTCGTGCCCCCTTTATTTCACTGTCACCAGCGTTTTACTCTTCCTTTGTTTCTTTGAGACAGCGTGTAGACCAGGTTGGCCTGGAACTCCCAGAGATACACGCCTGCTGCCTCTAAGTGCTGAGATTATAGTCATGCCCCACCACACCCCGCTAATTCTACCTCTTCTCAAGACAACTTTTCTCCCTTTCTCTATTTTGGGGCCCGAAAACTCCTAGAAGGCAGTCTCCGGTATCAGCCCCAATGACTCTGAAGAAGGAATGCTGGCTACTGATCGCTTGGAGTTGGAAGAAGGGCCCGCTCCCCCACATACAGCCCCAGTGTGAATGTGGCACCTACGAGCGCTGGGCTCATCTATGCGAGGAATGCCTGCGTGCTCGCACAGAGTGGGCGCCAAGGGCTCCAAGAAGCACGGGCTGCCTTTAGGAGCTCAGCGCTCAGCGCTCGGTCGGCAGCGAGCCCCGATCCCCGGCTTCCCGAGGCTCAGGTTCGAATCCCGAGACCCCGGGCAAGCGCCTCGCTTTGCCTTTGTGTCTCCGAGTCCTACTCCTCCGCCCGGTGCGCTGCGGCCGGCGGGCGCGCGGGCGGACGCGAGGTTCCGAGGAGACGCTCTCCTCCGCTCGCTCGCTCGCTCGGCCAGGCCGGGCCGGCCCAACGCTGAGCCTCAGGCCCGGGGCAGCAACCGCGGCTCGAGGAGGCCGCGCCGGGGAAGCCGCGGCCTCTTCGGGCCGCGCCAAGATGCGCGCCCGCGCCCAGGGCGGGGCGTCCACGCAGCCCCGGCGTCCCACGGCCGCCCGCACCTCTTTCTCTTCCCTCCCTGGCTCCCGTCCCCGCTCCGAGAGAGGGGCTCGCGCTCGGCTCAG